GGTGCTCCTCCTGTGAAGTGTGAGTGCTGACCGTGGTGCTCCTCCCATGAAGTGTGAGTGCTAACCATGGTGCTCCTCCTGTGAAGTGTGAGTGCCGACCATGGTGCTCCTCCCGTGAAGTGTGAGTGCTGACTGTGGTGCTCCTCCCGTGAAGTGTGAGTGCTGACTGTGGTGCTCCTCCTGTGAAGTGTGAGTGCTGACTGTGGTGCTCCTCCTGTGAAGTGTGAGTGCTGTGGTGCTCCTCCCGTGAAGTGTGAGTGCTGACCGTGGTGCTCCTCCCGTGAAGTGTGAGTGCTGACTGTGGTGCTCCTCCCGTGAAGTGTGAGTGCTGACTGTGGTGCTCCTCCCGTGAAGTGTGCGTGCTGACCGTGGTGCTCCTCCTGTGAAGTGTGAGTGCTGACTGTGGTGCTCTTCCTGTGAAGTGTGAGTGCTGAATGTGGTGCTCCTCCTGTGAAGTGTGAGTGCTGACTGTGGTGCTCCTCCTGTGAAGTGTGAGTGCTGTGGTGCTCCTCCTGTGAAGTGTGAGTGCTGACTGTGGTGCTCCTCCTGTGAAGTGTGAGTGCTGACTGTGGTGCTCCTCCCGTGAAGTGTGAGTGCTGACTGTGGTGCTCCTCCCGTGAAGTGTGAGTGCTGACTGTGGTGCTCCTCCCGTGAAGTGTGAGTGCTGACCGTGGTGCTCCTCCCGTGAAGTGTGAGTGCTGACTGTGGTGCTCCTCCCGTGAAGTGTGCGTGCTGACTGGTGCTCCTCCTGTGAAGTGTGAGTGCTGACTGTGGTGCTCCTCCCGTGAAGTGTGAGTGCTGACTGTGGTGCTCCTTCTGTGAAGTGTGAGTGCTGACTGTGGTGCTCCTCCTGTGAAGTGTGAGTGCTGACTGTGGTGCTCCTCCTGTGAAGTGTGAGTGCTGTGGTGCTCCTCCCGTGAAGTGTGAGTGCTGACCGTGGTGCTCCTCCCGTGAAGTGTGAGTGCTGACTGTGGTGCTCCTCCCGTGAAGTGTGAGTGCTGACTCTGGTGCTCCTCCCATGAAGTGTGCGTGCTGACTGGTGCTCCTCCTGTGAAGTGTGAGTGCTGACTGTGGTGCTCCTCCCGTGAAGTGTGAGTGCTGACCGTGGTGCTCCTCCCGTGAAGTGTGCGTGCTGACTGGTGCTCCTCCTGTGAAGTGTGAGTGCTGACTGTGGTGCTCCTCCCGTGAAGTGTGAGTGCTGACTGGTGCTCCTCCTGTGAAGTGTGAGTGCTGACCGTGGTGCTCCTCCCATGAAGTGTGAGTGCTGACCATGGTGCTCCTCCTCTGAAGTGTGAGTGCTGACCGTGGTGCTCCTCCTCTGAAGTGTGAGTGCTGACTGGTGCTCCTCCTGTGAAGTGTGAGTGCTGACTGTGGTGCTCCTCCTGTGAAGTGTGAGTGCTGTGGTGCTCCTCCCGTGAATTCAGTGTGAGTGCTGACTGTGGTGCTCCTCCTGTGAAGTGTGAGTGCTGACTGTGGTGCTCCTCCTGTGAAGTGTGAGTCCTGACCGTGGTGCTCCTCCTGTGAAGTGTGAGTGCTGACCGTGGTGCTCCTCCTGTGAAGTGTGAGTGCTGACCGTGGTGCTCCTCCTGTGAAGTGTGAGTGCTGACCATGGTGCTCCTCCCGTGAAGTGTGCTGTGGTGCTCCTCCCGTGAATTCAGTGTGAGTGCTGACTGTGGTGCTCCTCCTGTGAAGTGTGAGTGCTGACTGTGGTGCTCCTCCTGTGAAGTGTGAGTGCTGACCATGGTGCTCCTCCCGTGAAGTGTGCTGTGGTGCTCCTCCCGTGAAGTGTGAGTGCTGACTGGTGCTCCTCCCGTGAAGTGTGAGTGCTGACCGTGGTGCTCCTGTGAAGTGTGAGTGCTGACCGTGGTGCTCCTCCGGCGGGCTTGGTGATTACAGCCATATTCAGGGGATATTCCAGCTGTGGTCTTGCTGAACTACAGAGATGTGGGCAGGGGTGTTCTGTATGTATGCTTAGTGTGATCAAGAGGCTTAAGGGTAAATACTCCAGCTTGTGCTTGTTTGAGCCCCAGGTTTAAATGTGGTTTGAGTTGGTCGGCTTTCAGACAGTGTGTTCCCTGGTGGGTTTGGATGCCTTCTGTGGTCCTGCAGAACTGTACTGTCAACGTTGAACTTCGTGTTGTCTGGAGGTACCACGATGGTATTCTGTGATGGGCATTGTGAGCTCCAGACACAGGGGAAGTGTTCTATCTGGGGCCCAGCGAAGTCCTGGTGTATAGGCATCACATTCTACCTCTGGGCTGGAGGAAATGCACACATCTGGGCTGTGCTGTTTGCCTGTGGACTGCTGCAGTTCAGGTGTATAGAGGATAGTTTCCCTACATGAGGCTGGTGTTTCCAGGTCAGTAGTCAGGGCGCAGGAGCTGTGCTGTTGTCCCTCCCACAAATTCTCTTATTATTATTTTTTTGGAGTTTGTATAAGGGTGTTAGGATTTGATGTGTTTATTCAAGTGCTTCTCCATCATTCACCCTGTCCACCTTCCTTCCCCTGTCCATCTGTCTCCTTCCCCAGACTCGTTAATCACATAGGTACATTAGTATTCTTGCTGCATTTGCCCCATCTCATTCATTTACCCTCTCCCCTAGTCACTCACCATCTTATTTCAGCTTCCTGATTCTCTTTTTTTGTGGAGCCAGTCCTGGGGTTTAAACTTAGGCCTGGACCTGTCCCTGAACTTCTTTGCTCAAGGCCAGAGCTCTACCACTTGAGTCACAGCTCCACCTCAGCATTTTGGTGGTTCGTTGGAGATAAGTGTCTCGTAGACTTTCCTGCTTGGGCTGGTTTCATGCTGCAGTCTCTAGATCTCAGCTCCTGAGTAGATATGATTACAGACTTGAGCTACTGGTGCCCAGCTGCATTCTATATTTTAAAAGTAATTTTATTGTTACTATAGTATGATGGTACAGAGGGGCTACCATCTCATAAGACAGGTAATGAGTACATTTCTTTTTGGACAATGTCACCCCTTCCTTCTTTCCCCAATTTTCCTCCTCCCTTACCCACAAGTTATACACATCATTCTCCCCGTAGTGTGTGCTGAGTAGCGTGACTACATTTTTTGTTCACCCTCCCTCCTTCCCTTTCTGTACTACCCTCATTTAACCCCCCAAGAGAAAAAAAAAACACAAAGCCCACCACCCACGATAACAACAGAAAGAAACCATGTTGTATTATCTTTTTAAAAGTTAATGGCGACTCTTGGTGTGATGTAATCTAGTACTAGTTTTTGGCTGTTTCTGTGGGATGGTAGCCTGTGCACGTGACCAGTTCTACAATGGGTTGTTATTCAGGTTAAGTGTGATTGATTTTCTAAGAATAAAATATTCTTAGGGAATTGAGAACTGGTAAACACAGAAATTTTGAGAAGTCAGGAGTAGAAAGTCTGCTTTTGGCTCTGTGTGTTGCTGTCAACAGAGCAAAAGATGGAATAAACAGGTCTCACTAAGTGAAGTGTGTGTTCTAGCCTGGTGATTGTGCGCCCAAGCACCTACACACCCACAGGGCACACTGGAGACTTACCGTCGTACTGCTGTTCCGTGTGACTTCAGAAAGCAGCAGAAGTGTAGCACGGTGCTCTGCAGCTGCTACCGCTGTGCAGTGTTCAGAGTTGCTGAGCACTGGTAGTGTGGTGTCTTTGCATAGGACAAAGTAGAATAGAAAGTACTTTGTGTTGTTCGCAATTCTCCTTTCCGTTGAGGGTGATACTTTTTGTTTTCATGAGTTACCATAAGGCCACGTTCCTTGCCACATTTGTTAAAAGCCTGAAAATAGAAAACAGGATTTAAAATTTCATTTTATTTTCTTAAAGTTTTGTTTTTCTGTTGTTACTGTGAAGGTGATAGTGGTGTGCAGAGGGGTGGCAGTTATGTAAGTCAGGTCAAGAGCACATTTCTTTTTGGACAGTGTCCCCCCTTCCCTTGCTCTCTCTCTTTCCCTCCCACCCCCATCCACAAGGTGTATGGTTCCTTCTCCACATCGTGTCCAGGGAGGACCACTGCTGCGTTTGTTCAGCCCTTGTCCCTCCATTTCTCTACCCCCCATGCCCTCCCAAAGACAGAACAAACTAAAGAAAACAAAAACCCCAACAAAGAAAAAAACCTCTTGTTTCCATTTCCTGGAGTTTATTTCTATAATACATTTTCATTTTAAAAAGTTAATTCAAGTTTTAAAAAAAACCCAGCAAAATAAACATAATTTAATTAGAAACAATTCTGTGTAACCATTTCCCATGTCTCAAGTTAGTTTGTTTCATTTGTTGAGATTTCTGATCTGAATATTTGGCCATTTAAAGGCTAGGTGGGGAAACTTGAGAACATGTCGGTATTGATATTTGCAAAGCCTTGAAAAGCTGCTCAGCAAATAGGCCTGCTCACTTCGGGGCTTCTGGCAGCCATGTCTCCCCAGGCGAGCTGAGTTTGCACCCCGGAGTTCCGTGTCAGTTGCTCCCTGTCAGAGGCGGCGTTTGAGTCCCTGCCCCTTTTCTTCTTGCCCCTTCTCTTGTGGTGCCCTTGTTTAGTGGGAACTCTTACGTACAAACCATACATTATATACAGCATATATAATACATAGATGTATAACGAAATGAGGTGATTTTTGCCATATAGCTGGCACCAGCGGCTCGCACCTGTATTCCTAGCTACTGCAGCTGTGGTGAGATCTGTCTGTAAATCTAGAGCTGGGGATGTAGCTCTGTGGCACACCTGTGCTCTTGCTTTGGTCCTCGGGTGCGACGCACAAGCTGCAGCCCTGGTACATACCCGGCCCCAGAACAACTTCGAGTACTCCTTTGCCATTTTGAAGTACAGCCCAGCTGCAGACGCAGCGGCATCGCCAGGTTGCGTTCACCTCTGTTCCGTCCATTTTCACTTGCTGCCAGGGACATTGTGGTCACGAGTGTGATGCTGGGCTCCCTTCCTCTGCCCAGCACCCCTGGGGTCCAAGAAGGCAGGCTGGTTTATATAACAGGAACTCTGTCTTTCAGCTACCGGCCCTACAGCTACCGGCACTTCGCGCCCCCCACCACGCCCTGCAGCACCGACGTCTGCGACAGCGACTGTGCTCCCAGCCGCAGAGTGGCCTCTGTGGCCTCCGCAGCCACAGCCAAGGGCTACACCAGTGATTTGAACTACGACTCGGAGCCCGCCCCTCCTCCCCCCACGCCCCGAAGCCAGTACTTGTCAGCGGAGGAGAACTGTGAGAGCTGCCCGCCGTCTCCATACACTGAGCGGAGCTACTCGCATCACCTCTACCCACCGCCACCCTCACCCTGCACGGACTCCTCCTGAGCAGAGCCGTCTCGGACCCCTCGCCCGGTGGAGACCCGAGTGGGGATGAGCAGCGTCGTGTACAGTTAACTTTATAAAGGGGCTAGGGAATGCTGAAGATATTTGTACAGAAGAAAAGGATATTTATATATTTTCTTAAAACAGCACATTTGCTGCTTGTGCCATAAAAGTTTGTACAAAAAATAAATTTGTACTAAAAGTTTTATTTTTGCAAACTAAGTACACAAAGCATGCCTTAAACCCAGTGAAATGACAGCGTACAGAGGAAGCAGGGCTAGTAACGGCACCGCTGCTCAGGAGTGTCTGGGCCACATCGATACCAAAAAGGAAGAAAGAAGAAATTAAGTTCACCCAGCGATACTTGGAAATAACCAGATAGTCTCAGGTTGAGGCACAGTTGAGGGTCAACAAGAATTCACAGAAGGAAAACAAAACAGCATTACTGTTAACCTTGGACAAAGGGCTTCATTTTGTGACTCCTGACAGTTTTAGGAAGGAACGTAGATAGCTGACAGTGATGTCTTGGGCTTTATTGCGGCGGGAGCGACCATGTCAGGAGGTTTGGCAGCCTGAGTCTGCTGTCCCCTGCCCCAGGTCTCCAGAGCTGGTGGACTAGCCCCAGCCACCCCTGGGCTCGGCCCTTCCGTTTCACTGCTGTTTTTGCATAGTGATCAAAAATTAGCCATATTATTGATCTTCAGTACTTCCAGGATTGTTTTCGTGCTCATTAGAATATCTACAGTATATGCAGACAGTGTTTCAGATTTACAGACCTGAGCATTACGTTCTCTTGTAGATGAATCCTGTAGCATATGGCATCACAATATGAAATCATACTTTACATATGTTCTGGTTAGAGACAATCTTTTAAAAAAATTGTTATCACTAGGTTTTTCCTATATTGATTGTGATATTTTCATGTTCTTCACGTGTTTTTTTTTTCTTCAGAATGATATCTACGTACATACCTCCTCTAATGTGCGACCTGAGTTTTGTATCTTTCTTCCTGTTACCCACTGTGAATGTCAGGTTGGTCAGATTATTCTTCCAATCCCCTTGCGTGGTGTGTGTGTGTGTGTGTGTGTGTGTGTGTGTGTGTGTGTGTGTGTGTGTGTGTGTGTGCGCTCTTATCCTTTGTGGATTAAGACAGCATGAGTGTAGGGAGCAGAGGAGCAGGCTCAGTGTGAATTCCTCACCTGTCAGAAGGGGGTGGGTGGGGACGTCTGTGTGTCCTGCCTGCCCTGCCTTGTGTGGCATCGGGGCTGCTGGAGCCCCTGCTCTGCTGCCGGTCCCAGGCCCAGCCTTCTCACTGCTAATACTGTTTTTAATCCGGTGTGTTCTTGCTTTCACACATTGTGTTCAGTTACTGATTTGTTACTGTTGTTGCTGTCTTGATGAGACCCTTGGGTATTATTAGGCTGGTGAGGGGGGCGGGGGGTTCCACAGAACAGAGGACAGAGTTCTGGCAACAGTGAGGGTTGGAGCAGCTTCTCAGGTACACTTGTTTTCGCCTGTGAGCGAACGATACCCGTCAGTGACTCACCTTTCACTCTGACAAGCAGGAACTCTTCCTCTTGTTGGAACAAAGTGTCCCCAGTCTACACAAGACCGACGTGGCCCCGGGCCCGTGGTAGACAGCGGCATGTGGCGCATACACGAAGGTGAAGGTTAGCAATCACTGGGTGCCACTTGGGGCTTGAGAATTCTTGTGTTTACAGTGTGTGTGCTTACAGTGGTGGGCTTCCCCTGTGAGAACTTGCACTTGTAAAATAAGAGCCGCCTTGTCCTGTCTCAGCCCAAGGAGTTATACCATGGTGACGACAAAGCACTCCGCGGAGAGGTGCCGGCTCAGTCCGCATCCTCTCTGCGCGTTCAGAGGTGTTCCTTCATGGCTGAGAGTATTTCTCAGATGGGGGAAGGACCTCTTGATCCTCAAGCCAGATGCACAGCTAAGCTTAGGGGGAGAAAAAAGATTTCCACGAAATTTTAGTTTGTGTTTAGCACTTGCCGCATCACCAGTGGCAACTGTTGAGCAGAAGATTCCAGAGCTGTTTCTATTTTAACATAAAAATACCCAGTAAGTTTACCACCAGGCAATATCGGATTCTTTTCGTAAGTTTGAGGAAAACTATTGTAAAGGCACAATGGGACGTTAGGAATGAAGACCCTGTTTTCACCGGATGTGGGCTAAGCAAGCGCAAAAGCAGTTTATTTTTATTTTCATTTTTTGTGCCAGTTGGTCCTGGGGATTGAATTCAGGGCCTGGGTGCTGGCCGTGAGCTTCCTTTGCTTAAGCCTAGCACCTCACACTTGAGCCACAGCTTTCCCAGTTTTTGTTTTTTGGTTTTGGGGGGTTTTTTTTGATAGTTTATTGGACATAAGAGTCTCACAGACTTTCCTGCCCAGCTAGCTTCAAACCACGGTCCCCAAGATTACAGGAGTGAGCCACTGGTGCCTGGCTAAAAGCAGTAAAATTTTACTGATGACTGAAGTGCATGTTAAGCTCAGTTGCGATGGTCGCTACAGTTATGTGGAAGGCAGGAGGACTGTGAGAGTTTTAATGCCAGCCTGGGCCACATAGCAAGTTCTGGGTCAGCATGGGCTGTGTTTGTAAGACTGTCTCGTGAAACCTAAATACCCCAGTATCAATAATTTGGGTAAAGTGCAAAGGTAGCCACACCTGTTTTAAGCAGCCCTCGCTTTTAAGGAAGCGTCTTTTTCCTTGCATAGATCAGAACCTTACAAAGAGTTTTAAAAAATCCTTTTATTTCTTATTCAGAAAGAAAAATCTGGAGGTTTTCACACCCCTAAATAATAGTGCTCACAGGGTGGATAGGAGAATGTTAGCGTTTTGACCTCAGAGACTACACTAGGTACAGATAAATGACTGTTGCTTAAAGCGTAATAGCATTCTCTTTCTTTCTTTCTTTCTTTCTTTCTTTCTTTCTTTCTTTCTTTCTTTCTTTCTTTCTTTCTTTCTTTCTTTCTTTCTTTCTCTTTCTTTCCTTCTTTCTTTCCTTCTTCCTTTCTTTCTACCTTTCTTGGGGCTAACCTGAACTTCTTTTGCTCAAAGTCAGTGCTCTACCACTTTAGCCACAGTTTTACTTCAGTTTTTCTGTTTTTTGTTTTTTGGGGTTTTTTTGGTAGTTAACTAGAGATGAGTCTCATGGACTTCTTTTGCTTGGGCTGGCTTCCGACTGGCAATCCTCAGATCTCAGCCTCCTGAGTGAGCGTAGGCGTGAGCCACTGGCGCCCAGCTCCCAGTTCTGACCTCTAGGATCATATACTTTCACAATAGTCTCAGAATGTGGCTTTTGACCTTCTTAGTTTTAAGAGTAGAGGATATTGGATCTTAAGACACAAAATTATGTAATTTGAAACACTGATGTGAGTATTGTTCTCAGGACACTTCTCTGTGGTTGGGTTCTACAGATTAGACTAACTCGGTACCTAAATGAGGGTGGGGATTCTTGGGTTTATTGTGATGACTTAGGCTGGGGACGGGGGAGATGGGGGGGGGTCTAGTATTGGGGCTTAAACTCAGGACCTGAGTGCTGTCCCTGAGCTTTTTCACTCAAGGCTGGCATTCTACCACTTAAGCCACAGCTCTACTTCTGACTTTTTGCTGGTTATTGGAGATGAGAGTCTCAGAGACTTCTGCCCAGGCTGGCTTCAAACCACAATCCTCATATCTCAGCTTCACAGGTGTGAATCACCTGCACCCTGTATTAATGATTCAGAATCAGAGATTCCTGGTTCTACTCTCATCCTTTGCCTGAGGTGAGATTTACCCTTTCATAGCCATTTGAAAACTGTTGATTGCTGAAAAGATTCCTAGATAGAACATGTCCTTTGCCCAAGTACAGAGTACTTTGAGACAGCGTGCTTTTTCTGCTTCTTCTCTGTCTGAGGTTTGTCTTTCCCAGAGAGAAGATGGTGAGGTGGAAATGTGCATCTGTTTGTGTCGGTGCCTGAGTCTGGATACTGAGGGGAAAACAGCAAGGAGTGATGTGGTCCAGTGCCGTGTGGAGCTGTGAACAGGGTTAGTGAGGGGTGTGAGAATCAGGAAGGATGTCGGGCCAGGCTGGCTTACATACAAGTGAAGGAACTGGCACTGCTTTGGGGTGTTTATCCTGTGTGTTCTTAAATTGTTTCCTAAGCTTTAACTTGTCGTGTCTTAATGTCAGCTGGTGTTTCTTGTACATCGACGTGGGTACGATGGTGCTTTGCAAGGATGTATTTATATTATAATGGCCAACATTTGGTCATCCCTCGTCTCCCTCACTCCCCTCTTTTTGTAAAATAAGTGCTTTAATTATAAACTGTACAAAAGGACCTTGTATAAACCCTTTTTCATTATTACAATAAGCTGAATTGTAACAAATGAAATGTTGATTTTTTTATAATAAAACTTTGGAAAAATACAAGTGTTCTTCCTTCGCGAGAAGTTAAAACCCTTGCCCTTCCCATGATGTCGGGAGGATCAAGTTCCGGCCTGGTGGGGCCTGGCCGTGTCGCTTGTGTTCACTCAGGTCCTGCCCTAGAGAGGGGTGGGGAGGACCCTTGCCCGATCAGTGCTGGTGGAACAGAGTGGCTGGTGAGCTGTGCTGCAGGTGACCTTTGTCACCAGCCTGGGTGTCACGGTGTGGCGTCGCTCCGCTGCGGAAGATGGTGCGGTGACACCTCTACAAAGCTGAGCTGGGGGTCCTTGCTGAGCTCGGCATCCGGCGGTAAGTTCTGCTGGCTGTGGCGATCATGGGAAGGAGGTCTGGGGTGCTGCAGGACCGCAGCCACTGTTCCCTTCTGCCTTCATACCGTTCTGCGTTCGGGCTGCTTGCGACAGATGCACAGATGTCTAACTGCCCTAAGGTTTACCTTCATTTTGGAGAAACGTCGAAGAGCTTTATTGAGCTATAATTTGCATGCAGCGCATGGCATGCATTGAACACGCACGGTGATACGCGTCCTCGTGTAACAGGGAGACGGTCGAGGCAGTGAGTAGTTCAGTACCCCAGGGCCTGCCTTCGTCCGCCCCTTCCTGTCCCAAGACGGTCAGTGGCTTCCTTTCTCAGTGTGGATGAAGTTGCTTTTTCTAAAGTTTAATAAATTGATACAGTGCATCCTTTCAGTTCTGATTTTACTCAGTAGAGTGATTCTTCTTTTTGGTCAGTCCTGAGGCTTGAACTCAGGGCCTGGTGCTGTACTGAGCTTTGTCACTCAAGACTGGCTAGCACTCTACTTCTGGAGTCACAGCTCCACCTACAGGGTTTTGCTAGTCCATGGCAATAAGAATCTCACAGGCTTTCCTGCCCAGGCTGGCTTTGAACCACAGTCCTCAGATCACCGCTTGAGTAGCAGGGAAGACAGGTGTGAGCCACTGGCACCCGGTTTATGCTTCACTTTTTAAGAAATTGGCCATTTTCCCTCAAGAAACTGTTAATGTTTTTTTTTTTTTTCTTCCTTTTGGCACCACAGGGGTTTGAACTCACACGAGGTCCTATGTCGATCTGCATTAGGCCGCATGCCTCTCCTCATCCGCCCTGCACACTTCAGCCACCCGGTGCCCTGGGCTCCGCACCCTGTGCTCTCCACCCTGGAGCTGCGTTCCTGGGCTGGCTCAGCCTCTCACCAGTGCAGGACTGGTGGAAACGGTCATTTGTTATTTACTGTTTCTGGCAGGAGATGGAGACTGGCTCCTGGCGCTTCATCTTAGCAAGAGGTCACAGGTGACAGCAGGTTCTTGAGCGCTGGTTGGGACTACAGGCAGCAGGGGCCACACTCGGTCACATACCCGTTTATAAGCCAAGCACTGGGGCTGGGCTTGTGTCAAAAGTCGGCCTGGTCTACGGAATGAAGCTATACCTATTCTTTTTTTTTTTTTTGGTCAGTCGTGGAGCCTGAACTCTGGGCCTGGGCCCTGTCCCTCAGCTCTTCAGCTGAAGGCTAGCACTCTACCACTTGAGCCACAGCCCCACTTCCAGCTTTTTCTGCTTATGTGGTGCTGAGGAATCGAACCCAGGGCCTCATGCATGCAAGGCAAGCGCTCTACCACTAGCCACCTTCCCAGCCCCACCTATTCTTGTTTATAGATGTTTCTGGTCCACTAGCAAGCCCGTTCCTTCCTGGAGAGACATTTTTACATTGGGAGTTTGGGAGCATTCTTGAGGAAAAGTCCACTGCAACCAGGGACAGAGAGAGAGAGCAAACTATACGGGAGAAGTGAAGGGATAAACTTGCAGAGCTGGGCTGGAATTGGTTGGATAACAAGGAAGGAAGGAGGCTAGCAGGAGGGAACATCCCAAGTAGAGACTTCTCAGGCTCCGTGGTGAATGGTTTGGTTGGATCAGGGTGGGTTTTATTGGGGGAGGGGTTGTCTATACTGTCTCTAGTTGTGAGCAGAGAGACCCTGGTCCAAGTCCCCCCTTGAGAGAGGAGGAGCAGGAAAGACCCAGCACGACTCCTCTTAAAACATGCCTCACTCCCACTGAACACACCTCACTTTCTAGAAAGCCTCATGGACAGAGCCAGTTTCTGAAGAGCAGTGAGTGAGGGCTGTGTTGGAGAGAAGATGGGACTAGGAGAGAGAGGAGAGGAGATGGTGGGGGGAGGGGGGAAAGGAAGAAAGGGGGAGAGAAGGGATAAAAGGAGAGGAGGGGAGTAGATTCTGGCCTCAGCCCAGGCAAGCAGGCCTCAGGAATGTGGCAAGGGCTCTGCTGTCACTTCCCCTGCTTCTCTGATTCTGGAATACTGACCCTTTGGACAGCAGTCATTCCTACTCAGGGAATGACCAAGGGACTCCTCTCAGAGAGGCCCGCGCACTGAGCCTCTGCAAACTGCCAGATGTTCCTTAAAGCTGTGTCACTACCATGAGAATGGCTTCATCTCTGTCTACAGGTGGGCTTGGGGCTGTGCGGGGGGGTGGGGGGGGGCAGGTCCTGGGGCTTGAATTCACAGCCTGGGCACTGTCCCTGAACTTCCACTCAAGGCTGTTGCTCTACCACTCAAGCCAAAGCTCCACTGCTGGCTTTTTTTGTTGTTTAGTCGGAGATAAGTGTCTCACAGACTTTCCTGTCTGGGCTGGCTTTGAACCTCAATCCTCAGATCTCAGCCTCCTGAGTAGCTTGGGATGACAGGCATGAGCCACCAGTGCTGGATGAAGTAATGTCTTTTATTTAGTTATCCCATGTGTAGTTCAAAGAACAAGGCCAGGAACCGGCTGAAGTAGGAAGGATTGCAGTTTGAGACCAGCTCGAGGAAAACAGGTTTAGGAGACACGGCCCCTGCCACCCCGGCTTCAGCACAAGCATAAAAAAAAAACAAAAAAACGCTGTTCTAGGCAGATAGG